GCAACAGGGGACCCCCGGCGGCAGTTTTCCGGGGCAAGTCAAGCCAAGGCACCCCTGGCTCTCATCCGCCCCTGCACCTGCACCAGCACCGGACCAGCCCCCCCCCCCTTCCCCCCCAAGACACCCACCACCCCAAGACACCCACCCGCCTCAGCCTCCAGCTTGCCCATGCTCATCAGGCAGAGCTTGGAGAGGCTGGGGGCATGGCGCAGCACCATGTGGGAGCTGCGGGGGCAGGGGCAGGTGCATGGTCAGGTGCAGGTGCAGGTGCAGGGGCAGAAGACAGTGAGGGATGCACAGGGGAGAGAGACGCTAGTGAAAGCTGCAGCGGATGCTGATACGCGGCAGGCAAGGGCCGGGGCGCAGGTGGACAGGCCGCGCCCGGACCCACACAGTGCAAGCGGCGGCCAACACAGGACGGAGGGTGGGACGGCGGGGGCGTGGGGACGGCTCCCTGGCCGCGGGCCCGCCCAGCCCAGCCCTAGCCCTGTAGGCCTGCCCAGGCTGGCCAGCCAGCGAGGCAGGCAAGCAGGCTGCGCACTTGAACAGGACGCGCCAGTCGATGCCCAGCACCCGAAGCCCTTCCAGGTAGCAGCCGGCGGGGAGGGAGGTCATGGAGTTGTCGTCTGCGGGGCGGGAGGAAAGAGGGCGTGGGAGGAAAGCGTGGGAGGGAAGCACGGGAAAAAAGCACGGGGAAAAGCACGAGAGGACAGGCATGGAAAGGGCACAGGGAACGCGGTCCGGGGCGAGGCTTGGCTGGCGGGCTCAGGCTGGGGGGCTGCCTGCTGCCGCGTGCGCACCCAGGTACAGCGCCCTCAGCGCGGTGTGGGCCGCCAGCTCCGCGGGGAAGGCCTGCAGGCGGGGTGCGGTGCCGCAGTAACGAGATGCAGTACCGCCATAACAAGATACGGCACCGCAGCAATGCCACACACACCCGTCCACACACTGCCTACACTGAACATCCACCACACACGCACACACACACACCTCCACCCACACACCACACGCACCTGCAGGTGGCATGCCCCCATGGACAGGATACCCAGCTGCTCCAGCGGGCCCAGCAGCACGTCGCACTGGCGGTGCATGGGCAGGACGTCGGGGGAGGGGGCCTGGATGCCCATGTCTGCAGGGGGCGAAGGGAGAGGTGGGCAGGCAAACAGTCGAGGCGGGGAGCTGGGAGCCGGGAAAAGCACGGCAGCAAACACACATCGCGCCCGCGCCCACAGACACTGATCAGGGCGCACAGGCGCTGATACAGGGAGTGTGCACTGACGTGGGCCCCGGCG